ATATAAAGTAATAAATATAAAAAGAATTTTTTTATTCATAAATTTATAAAAATCTCTAAACAAGAAAATTTGAATAAACACATAATGAGTAACTTTAATTATAAATTTTGAAAAGATGTATTTTCTTGGCATTTCTTTTTGTTTGTTCTTGCCACATAAATTCACTAAAATAGGTCAAGAGCATCTCTTCCTCTCAACCAAACATTCTTTTAATTCTAGATTTTAGGCAAGACCACAAGCACTCAATATTTTGAGTGTATAGTGACCTAGTCATTGGATAGACTTCCTGATGCAGAACTACAGAAAGTCTGTAAATTTTACTGAGTCTTACCTTACAAAAACTTGTTTTCACAGTTATTTATAAAATGGTAAATTATAAATATTGCATTGTAGTCGGTTTACATATTTTGTCAATTTTTTATAAATTTTTGAATAAAGATTTCTTTTCAAATTTATTTCTTTATAAAATGGTAAATAATAAAAGATAAATAATATTGCATTGTACTTGGTTCACATATTTTTATAATTGCAATGATATATAAATGACTGCCTACCTAGAATAACTAAGGAACAGAGACTATATATATATATATATATATATATATATATATATATATATATATATTTCTAAATTCCTTTTTTTTTTTTCTAGTCAGATGACAGTTTTTAAGGTAATCATCAAAGATATCATCAATTATAACATCTGAAAAAAATTTGACATTCCAAATGAATTACCTCCCTTTATTTGTCTTGCTTCATTATTAAATTTTTTTATTATTACTACTACTACAAACAACAATAATAAAATATTCAACATTTGTGACCACTATAACACTTAAAATTTTAAGACTTTACCTAGTCTCATATTCTGCACAGTTTTCATGAATAAAAGCTTAAATATAATTTATATTTTAAGACAACTTAAAATCTGTAAAATAAAAATAAATAAAACCCCCAAAGGTTATATACTTACTGTGGTAGGTAACCAGTTGTAACCTCTTGTTGGAGATTATCTCCCTTGACGAAAGAAATCTGCTAGTCTAAACCACTTTAGATAGTATTGATTTTTATACTAAAATATTTTAAGCTTTTTTTTAATAAATCAATTAACCCTAAGAAGATCAATAATGCTACTAAATCGAAAGAGGCTATTGGGAGTGAAAGAAAATAAGAAAACTTTAGAAACCCAATCCTAAACAGGATTACGAGACATAAACCATTACCCCTGTTCAAATGACCCTAGAGGATTGTGAAAGCTATACCACTTTCTATATTTTATTACACTTTCTACATTTTGATTTAAAAAAAAAACTTAAATTTGTTGAAAAGAAAAAGCATCCCAAATGCAGTATACATTATTTCATATCTATTTAACAGCTAAGTTAATGTCCTTGAAAAACAATCACAGATATTTGCATTTCTATTAGAGGATATGTAAGTAGGAAAAATATCCTTTTTTAAACCTCAGTTAGTACTGTAGATTCTTTGAACACACCACAACATGTTTTTCTTTAAAAATTTAGCAAGTGACAAGTCAAATTTTCATGATTAGTCAAAGAGCTTTTCAAAAATCTCTGTCAAGTAATTACAAGGAGTTCTGCTTTTAGTCATAGTTTGTGTGAATTACAAGCGGTTTTGTTTACTGAAAATAAAAATGAAACCTATTTTTGCAAATTTGAAACTTACAAATTCATTTGTCGGGGAAAGACAGAAATAAACACCAAATGACAAAAAATGCTTTCTGTGTTGGCGGGTTTATGGTTAATAAATTAATGATTTAAAATTAAATATTTAACATTTTTCAACCAACAGCTCATGTTCCCACCAACAATAAAAAACATGCTCTATGATCCCTTTGAAGGGTATATAAGCAAAATTTCTAGATGGACACAGCAGTAAGAAAGAAGGGCATCATATGGCAACAGTTCACGACATGTACAGCTTAAAAGAAATTTCCTCACTCATTTCCTCGTCTTCCTCATGACGCTACATGACACTTACACTTCCCTCCTCACTTTCTCATTTGTTTCTTCTTTTTCACACCTACATGTGAAGAAATCACATTTCTTTTCATCTTAACTACAGACAAGGACTGTAAGAACTTTAACACACATACATGTTTTTTATATATATATATATATATATATATATATATATATATATATATATATATATATATATATATATATATGTGTGTGTGTGTGTGTGTGTGTGTGTATGGTACGATGGATAAATTGTCGCCATTTTATATTTTAATTTCATGCATACACATTGTTTGTTTTTGATTTTGTCAACTGCACAGTATAGTAGGCTTAGTTGAGCACCGTATGTGAGAAAAAGGTCACTATGACACAATTCCCTCTGCCAGAAACTTGGAAACAGCATTGGCATTTGTACTAAAAGCTCCAATACAAATATTTCAGTGTTTGGGTGTCAATCTGAGAACAGTGCAGAGGATTTAGAAAGAGTTGGATGAGTCTAATGGTCATTATGATGGAATGGCAACTCAGAAAACTCACTCTGAATGTTCTGATAAGTAAAGAACTCCCGAACTTGCTGGTGAGGCCCTCAGACTCAACACGACGGTCTACATCAAGTACCTTGAGGAAGAAGTCCTACCCTAGATCAAGAGGGTGGTTGCTAGAAGACCCTATGTCTAGCCACAGGACTCTGCACTATCCACACAAGCAGAATGCTGTCATGGCTGTCAGACAATTACTGCAACCACATCTGATTACAACTTACATCTGACCTAACTCCCCAGACTGCAACCCCCTTGATTATTATGTGTGGGACACAGTTGAGCAAGAAACCAACAAAACTCTTGTAACACCAAAGATGGGCTGAAGGAATGGATTATGGCAGCATTCACCAACTTAAACAAGGAGATCGTCCAAAAGAGTTGCAGGAGATTCAGAAGTCGTCGGGAGGCAGTGGTTGAATGAAGTCAAAGGCGATTCTATTGAATAAATTTACTTTTTAGTATTTCAAGATATTTTTGGTTTGTGTAATTAATTTTGGTAAATATATCTGTTAAAATGAGATGTCAGTATTATTTTCATTTTTGAGTAATTTAGACGATAATTTATCCATCGCACAAGGTTACATACACATTTTTCATGATTTCACTTTGTTTTTCATACCTGTTCTCACATCTCCATGCACGTAATATCAAATACAATTATTTATCTATTCCCCACAAATTCAGTTAAGTCATATCATTGTATCGATGAAATATTCTCCATATTAAATTTATTTCATGTTTTCAATTGTTAGTTATAATAAAAATAAATTTACCTAAAAATAATTAATTGAACAAAAAATGTTGCCGTTGAAGTAAACCGGTAATATAATTAGTGTGTACTTGTTTGTTCGAGCACCGTCCGCTTTAAAGATGGACGAGTTACGTTTATGGGTTTGTTATTGTATTTAACAAAAAAAAATTCCGGACAAATTTTCTTTATGAACGATTGTTACGGAACGGCTGCAATGTAGTCGATTAAAAAATAATTGTTTTCATTGTCTCTTCAGCTCGTCCTCTTACATTTTTTTTAAAACAGTTCTAACGTATTTCTACGCGTGTAATAAGTCAATATTTTGCCGTCGATTTGTTGCGGACTGTAAGACATAGTAATAATAATCCTTTAAAGACAAAGTTTTTTTTCTTTCATGCTTAAAGTCAGATGTTCCTTTTCCTACTTAGTGTTTACAGTGATGAGACTCATTAATTTAACATTTTTTAAATTTAAACTGTTACAAAGTCGTTCATCTGTTCGTATTTCTCAGAAATTATGAATAGAGACTGGAGTGAGGTTATATACGATGTAACCAACCCTAAATATTTTCCAACTTCCAGAATGGTTTGTAATATCACCTCGCATTTTGAATGAGAATCGCGAATCTTTTAAGTCTTCTTAGTCCATTACATTTTATTTTTTCAATCTGCATCTTGATAACTTTTTTTTAAAAATCCTTGATTTTTAAGACGTTTCATGTTTTTGTTATGAAATCGTCCTAGTTTTTGAATCCCCACTTTTTTGTTTTACATAATAATTATTACATGATTTAAAAAACAAAAACACTCAATGTTTTAACTTAAGTATTTAGTTTATCGTTAGCAACTATCTACTTTACACCAACTTTAAAGATGCTAGAAAAAGTTTTAAAAATTAAAATTATTTAGCTATTTTACAATTACTGAGTTTTTACTCGGTTTATTAAACCGAAACTTAAATTATATAATTATTACAAGTAAAATATTTTCGGAATAAAAACTTATTCATAGCTCAGAATTAAATATTTAAGTTTGTATTTTTATTAATTTAAAAAAAAAGGTAGAAAATAAAACCTGAGTACGAAATAGGAAAAAAAAATCTCACCGCTTTTTGTAACAAAAAAGTAAAAAGTTTTTGATTTTGTAAAAAGTAATGGAAACTGGTTAAACTTATTGACTTAGAGCACAAAAAAATAAATTTAATTTTGTTCGTGAAATTAAAAAAAAAGTTTTGCTTTGATGAGATCTTTTTTTGTTCTCATGACGGACAACGATGGAAAAAAAAAGTCATAATGTTTAAAAATAAAATAAAATGTTCGTGTTTCTAGCGGAAAAATTATTTTTAAAAAAGTTCAAAAACAGTAATAAAATATGAATTAATCATTAAATCTATTTGTTGAGAAAAAAGATCTATATTAAAGAAAGAACTACAAAAATTTATTTATTTATTTACTTGAGTCGTTAAGTCAATAACTAACTTTTAGTTTTACTTTTAACTGACCATAGCCAACCATCTATCTAGGCACGTGACAAAAGTTTTACTTTTTTTAACTTAAAGTTAGCGTGAAAATGTTAGCCACTCATTTTGAATGTCCGCCTTTCGTCCGGGAACAATTAAAATAAATGTTCAGATAATTATTTGCTACTCCGAAAAAACATTTTAAAAACTCATCACACAAAATAACATCCTTTTCATAATTTACAAAGAGGTGAGAGTCAGTCAATAATGGACCATTCTAATCAAAATGCCGATCAAATTTCGGCTTTTGCCGCTACACCTTCACCTGATGAAGGAACCCAGTCATCGTTCAAAAGAAAAAAGGTTCAATCAGAAAAGGATGAAAAGGTGACAGAAAAAGAAAACACAGAGGTTGTCGAGGAAAATGGTTCTACTTCCAATAATAATAGAAATGAAGCAAATGATGATGGTATTGCTTTTGAAATTGTTCCAGGACAAATACAAGTCCCTATTGATGAGCAGGTAAGTTTTTTTTTTTCGTGTAGTATTATTTTTTGTTTGTTTTTTTTTGCATGCATTTGTTTTTAATTCCCAAATTAAAAAATAATGAAATGAACTTTTTTTTTCTTTTGATATGTTTGTGTTTGTTACCTGTACGCATCTGTTACTTTTAGATTCTTTTTAAATTTATTTTTAAAAATATTTAAAAATGCTTAACAAATTTGGCATTAGCTTCTTACGTAAATTTTGATACCATGACCAAGAAATAACCCTGGACTGTTTTGGACACTTGAACTTGACTTGAGTGAGCATTTCTAATTTAGCAATCGATCGGTATTCAAATCTTAATTATTCAAACAAGCCCGTCGCCAGAATGTTTTTGTTTGAGTGTTGGGGCGGGGGCGGGGGCAGGGGGGGCAGGGGTTGTAAATTAGTTCATGTTATTTTAATTTGTGGCGTAGGTTCTAAGGCAGAGATCAATAATTGAGCCCAGACTGAATATCGATTTTCTAGGTAGGTAAGTAAGCAGGCTCTACTCACTTGGTGCCAGTATCTTCCTGATCCACTCGCCTCTAATTGGCCTTGTGCCATACCACGCTAAACATTACAGTCATAGTTAAGTTTAAGTAGATGTTCAATTTCAACTAATTACCTGCTCTAGCTTTTAATTACTTAAAATGACTCGTTTATTTATAGATGCGCCGGTTCGCGGATACGGATAGTAATGTTATTGTTGGTATGATGCTATCTCTTGCAGTTGATAATTTTTTTTTAAATGAGACAACGAACGATTTTTTTTTTAACATAAACAATGATTAAAAATTGAATGACTATCAAAAAATTTGAAAATGAGTTTCTTCTTTGACTGAAAAAACTCTCAAGTCCTCTATCGAGTTCTATTTTAACCGCTATTTTCTCTCCCACCACAACTGAATTCACGAACTTCAGTACATGCAAACTAATGATAAAAAAAAAAAACATTGACCCATTCAATCTTATTTATGCTTAAAAAAAATGAAAAAGCATAGAGTCCAATAAGTTAGACGTTGTACTTTATTTTCTTTAAGAATTTCTAAACAAACCGCTTCTTTTTGAATCGGTATTTATTTTAATTTCTTTCAAAATTACATTTCTTATCGAAATATATGCAAAAGTTCCTTGCAATTTGTTTTTTCTCCCACTAATTAAAATCTGAGGTAGGTAGGTAGGTAGGTAGGCGTTTTCACTTTTCTTTTAAAAGGCTGGAAACTTAGGGAAAATAATCTCACATAGACCCTTCGCAACAGTTTTTTTTTTTTTTTTTTTTATGATTATGATTCGTGTATTTAAATTTTGATACTTCACTTTAGTTTCAGCCTTGGCTTCTTAAGGGTAAAGCTGTAAAAGTCGTGGGGCATCTAGTAAGGATCGAACGTTGTTTCTAATCCAAGTTTTCACACGCGCACACACACAATTAGAAGTTGAATTAATTAAATTTTAGCCGTGGGTAACGAAATGGAACGAATTATTGTATTTCCTGCATTCGTTCCACACCTCGAAAATTACATGGAGGTATCAATTTAGTCAATACATCGGAAGGGGTCGTTTTAGTGATGATAGCGATAAAAAAATAATGTTTATTGTTTAGTTTGCTAAGAAAAAAAACCAAAAAAAAAAAAACCTTAGTTTTCTTTTTTAAAATAAAATAAGTCTTTTTAAATTTTAAAAATATTTTGTTTTAGAAATTTAAAGGATCTCTATCTCTATTTAATAATATTAAATTAATGAAGTTAGGTTTTAAAAGGACAAAAAATGTTTTACTTTCTACGCGAAATATGATACTAAAATTTCGGGGCAGGGAAAGCTGTCTTGTTCTAAATAAACAAGAATTTACAAATATGACAATGAATTTTCAATTTATTAAATAAAAACAAAGGAAAGTCCAATCCTCAAAAATTGAAGGAAAACTAACTCGCTTACATATTTATTCCGCACCCTGTTTGCTTTTAAATAGCAATTTTTTACAGTTCAGTCTGTTTTACTTTGGGAAAATAAATGTTATTGCAGATTGCTCGATTTTTTTAAACCTGGTCGTCCGTTTCTTGATTTATTTTAATGAAGCTTCTTACCTATATTTTTCAATTTTCATTAAATAAAATAATTGTTTTTCTATCCCGTACGTTAAACTTAAGCTTAATTTGCAGTTGAGCATCCACGCTCAGTTCGCATTAAAATTTTCCAGAATACTTGCATAGGTGTATGTAATTGTACAATACATATTTCATTCGAATCTGGCTTGATAAATTTGATAAAATCTACCGTTTTGGAGTTATCGACAGTAAAAGTTCGGATTCAAACTCGTCGTTTTTTAATTTCTGGTTCAAATTAATAAGAAAACAATGCGAAAGAAAGTGTAATAGCGCCTTTATTATTTGCGTCTAACTTTTTAACTAGTCTAAGGGCACTTGGGGAGAAGTGTGATACATCTGAATTTGTCGTTTAAAACTATAAATAACCCAACAGAGGACGACACCTTTATTTAAACTAATTAAGGTAAAAAACAATCGATATGAAGTAAAGACGATTATTTATTCTAATTTAACAATCGAACTATGAACTGGACTACCTTTTTTAGTTTTTGTTTAAAAAATATCACACAATGGTTCATCGTTTAAATTTATCGTCTCAAATGATAATTATTACTCATTATTAGCAAATTAAATACATACTGTGTTTATCTTAAATGTTTCATCACCGGCTTTTTAACTTCGATTCAGCATGGATGCTTGTTGCATAGTGAATTAAAAAAAAGTGAAAAAAATGTCTTTCCAACGACATTTTTGTACCATGCTTAAAAAATTAAATTTCAGCATATTTAGATTTTTTTTTTTTGTTATATAATAAAAAAGATCTAAAAATATTCAGCTTTTCTTTTTCATTATTTGTGCATATTTTTCTTTTTCATGTTTCGCTTTTTAGTTTTTTTAGTAGAAAAGGTAAGTGTTCCTAGCGAGAATAAAAACTTTCTCCCTGATGTAAAAAAAAAAAAAAAAAAAATATTTTCTTCTGAAAAGTGGAAACAAAAGTATATACTCACACGTAGAACAAACTTTGAGCGAGAAAAAGTGACGAATTATTAAAAGAAGAAAAAAAGTAAATGTGTAAAAATAAAAACCGATTGGTCGTGACGATGTTTTGTTTTTCGTTTGTGTTTTTCTTTATTTTCCTTGAAATCTAACCCGACTTTCTTGTAAAGTTTGTATCTACGGAAGAACGAAAGTATCAAAATTTTTTTTTTTTTGCCTTACTGCTTACTCTCTTTTTTTATTTTCTTTTTTTATTTGGAAAATCTTCATTATAATTGAAAAAAAAGTTTTAAAAACAATTAAAGATAAAAATTTATCCTACTGTCATACAAAAAAACATTATCAATGAAATATTTATTTATTTTTTACGAAAGTAGTCAAATTTTGTTCTAACCTTGTTATTAAAAGTATTGCATTCATTAGTTTTTACTACTTAACCGAAATTTGACATTCTGAGCAATTACACGTCGGATTGAGGAAAAACAAAAATTCCTAGTTTTTTTTTTTTTTTTTACTCATCACGCGGCTCATGTAGACTACAGTACTAATAATTGTGTTTTTAGAGTGACACTTTACAACTGGTGTTTGTGTTACAACACATACGTGTTGTAATTTTATTAAATTTTAAAGCATTTAATTAAAAACAAAATCCCTAACCACCCCGAATCAATCAACATTCAAGGACCTTTCAATTTTTTCAAATTTGAAACTAGCATGCGGCATGAGACTAAAAAATAAAACGTTAAGTGCTTAATTATTTTTTTCTCATAAAAATGAGTTGCCTATGTACTTAATAACAGCACATGTGACAAAGGGTGTGTCGAAAAGTCCTCAGTTTAACCCACTAATTTCCCAATATCTGACCAAATGACCAAAAAGTATTTTGTTTTCTTTTTATGAGGAAGGCCAAGAACATTTCAGCAAGTGTTTCTCCATATTTTAATGCCTATTATTGTATACATTTTAAATTAGTACTGAGTAAAATAAATATATGACAGAAAAAGGTTTATGAAAGATAACAAAAAGGCAATTTATTAAGAACTACACAAAGGTCAGGAAATTGTGGCGAGCCAGAAGGCCTATGTCCTGAAGTGACACGACACATAGAAGATCAGTCTTCAAGTTGAAATGATTTGAGATAAAATTGATGAGTGGGGAGATTAATGGACAGTGGAGGGGAAATAATGATTCTAACTCCCCACCCACCACCCCAATCTAAAATGTAAGTGTGGGGTCTGTAGCATACCCAAAATTTAAAAATACACAAATATAAGTGTAACATCCCGCTACCACTTTCTTATCAATATTGAATTTTGTACATTTTTGTGCAAAAAGTGGACCAGAGAGCCTACTCAGCTTAGTAAATATTTTCAGGAAATATCAGCTTCTAATTGGTCAATAAACACACAAATGGACAATCCACCCACGTACAAATAGTGCGTGACCAAGTCAAGTTTTTCTGCCATTTTCTGTGAGACTGTCACATGATTACATTAATTATAAATAGCAGACACAAGCTTGCTGCTTTCTCTCTTTTCTCTTCCCTTCTGCAAAGATGTGACCTTAAGGATTCTTGTCTCAACCATGGGTGGTCAGACATTAAAAACATATTCACGCATACACATACATACAAACTTTTCCAAACTACATTACAAACGTACAAAACATTTCCAGACAAGCAGCAAGAACTTTTCTCTTTGAAATATTCTTCTAAAGCTACAGTTTATTCAGAATTTCTCAGCTTTATAATTAATTCAACTTTTGTGAGCTAAGATAAAAATATTTCACAGTCTAAGGGACATAACTCCAACAGAACTTTAACTTCTACGCATGTACATCAATACACAAAATAAATACAAGTGTTATTGTTTTTAAACCATTTTGTTCTTGTTTTTCAAGTTTTGTGGTATTTTACGTTGTGTGGTCATGTTATTCATGCAGTTGTAAACAGACATT